ATTGTCAGTTTATATTATATCAAAAGACATTTTATCTTTAGAATTGGGCCATAAATATAAATTCTACAGCGGTTACCGTTTTTCTTATAATCAGCCTGTATATTAAAATTTGTACAAATTCTTGAAATTATTTGGAGTGTTAAGAATTATTAAAATTATCTTAAGTTTGTTTAGAACTACTGGAATTATGTGAAAATTACTGAAATTATTTGAACTCTTTTTGGAATTACCTTAGATTTTTTTTGAAAATTACTTTGAATTTCTTAGAACTAACGAAATTATTTTGGAATTAAAAAAATTCAGTTGAAAATGCAAGAATTAATTTGGAATTATAGAAATTAATCTGAAAATAATGGAATTACATGGATTATGAGAATAAGTATAATTTCGGTGAAATTTTTTTGGAATTGTAAACAGTTGTACACATTTTTTTAACGGCTTCTCGGACCTATTCTGTCACTTTCTAAAATTTCTGCACAACTTTTAAAATCACTCTGTGTAAAAAAATTAGATTTTTTATCACAAATTGTGAAAAAAATGTTTTTTAGCTCTCACTCTCAAGCATTAGCAGACAATTTTGCATTTATTGCTACGTAAAGACAGGCCATTTTTTATTTTTTGTTATTAAATAATTTTTCCTCGGATTTTAATTTTTCAGAGCAATAACTTTTAAGAGAAACTGAAAATGAATTAAAACCTAAGAATTTACAAAACATTGTTTGTTAAAACTATTTTAGGTTTTTTTTATAATTATTAAAATTTATCGACATAACTTACGGTCGAACAATTTTTTTAAACAATAATTTTTAGTAAAAGTAGTTCTACTTTTATAGCACAAGTCTGTACCAAAAAAAATTAATACCTTATAAATTATGAAAAAATTTGTGTTTTTACTTAAAATAGTCCAAAATATACTGTAGAACAAGAATAGGGTTTCAAATTCAAAACTCAAAAGGATGTTTTCAACAATTTTCTTTGAAAATAATAGACAACAATCTTAACTTTCGAAAAAAATCTAGATTACTTTATTTCAAACAAATAAATAACTTGGCGAAACTTTTTTAATAATAATAAAATGGAATAAAAGTTTTTCTTAAAAAAAATTGTGTTTTTATTTAAAATTAGCCCAAAATATACTGAAACATCACTTTATACCATATTAAAAGCCATTTAATGTTTGAATTGGACCATAAATAAAAATTCTACAGCGCTTGCGTTTTTTTTTAATTAAACATCCTGTATATTAAAATTTCTGACGTTTAATCATCTGATTGTAATATTACGAACAATAATGTCCGCCAAATGTAAAATTACTTTAAATTTCTTAGAACTAACGAAATTATTTTGGAATTAAAAAAATTCAGTTGAAAAT